TCGAACCTGCGACTTTCCGGCTAGTAGCAACTACGCTTCCGCGTTTCCCACCAAAGTACGATAGTTGAAAGCAACAAATATTTATGTCTTATCTAGAAGGACATATATGCAGGAGAAGCGATGTAATTGGATCGCAGTGAAGTGAAGCCTGTTATGCAGGTGCAGATTGCGTGCATGATACGAGCAGCAGTTGTCAGTACAAGCATGGCCGCATTATCTCAGAGCGGTTCCATATACATTGGTCGATACGTATGTTTACCGAGCATCACGGCCGATTGGGTGCCGCTCCTGTTTCGTAATCAGGAGATCCCAGTTTCAAACATCGGCACGGAGACCGTCTGTGCTGGCAGATTATAANCTCTTCAAATTTGATAGGCTTAAAGGAACTCAAGTTGACACAGTTCCAGTTGTGGATCGTCGCCAGATTCAAGAGCCCAGAGCCCCATTTGTTAGCCAGCAAGAGCAATACAAACAGCGGTTCTGCTGGGATGGGCAGCAACAGCACGGATGCAGGTGCGATGTTACCGTTCTCTCTTCCTCACAATGAAGCAGCAGCAGTGTCGGGCCGTGGAGGGCGCGCGGAGTTGCTCGTGGAACTGTCCCTTGGGCTGTCACACTCAGCTGATGACGTTACCCCAGTATGACTTTACCAAAGCAATGGAGTGCAGCAACGTATAATTTTCCGTAAAAACAAAGAACAAACTCCGTTGCTTGAGTCCGCAAGCGAACTATACCGACCGAGCGACCGCCGCTTGTCGACGAAGTTAGTGACATCTTTTGCGGATAGAGGGTGTCACGTGGTGAGCCACACGAAAGTTCATACATATGCTAACAGTGGCTGACCGGTTCCGTTTGGCATGGTGTCATGCTCTTGTAAAATTATAACGAATTTTGTAACCAAAACTTGCTCATCTGGTCAAGAAATTCTTCGCCAATTGTGTATCCTGAGTGTTTACTCTAGTGTTCACAAGAGCCCGCCACTTGTCTCTGTTCTTTATCACGCGAACGCAGTGAACACCATCAAGTTCAATATCCGCTTCAGTATCGCCATCCCATCTAAGACTAGGTTTTCACAGTGGGCTATTCTCTTAATGAAACAAAATATAAGCGGGGATAGCCGATGTTGGACCGAAATTGAACCTCAGACCTCCAGGATATGAATCATGAATACAGATCATTTCACTTTGAGTGTAAATGCTTATGAGATCCAAAAGTTAATATACACGTAGTTGTTGTGTTTCTGGATATTACCCATCGTCCTCTTTTATTTAAGCAACGTTTCGGAGGCTCGATTCTTCTCTCCGTGCAGGTGGAGCCAACTCAGTTGGGCCCAATTCACTGAGCTAGCCCCTCCCACAAGACACTAACACCAACACAAGATACTGTATATGCAACAAGCACAGCATAACCCATCTGCGAGAGTTAAGCAATAGCCGTGAAATAGAGCATCCACATAGGTGCCAGGCCTCATGTATGTAGAGTTCTTTAGTGTTTGTCTTGACTCTCGCAGATGGATTGTGCTGTGCTTGGTTTATGGATCCTATCTTGCGTTTGTTCTGGTGTTCGGAGGTAGGGACTATCTCTATCGATAGGGCCCAGCTGAGCAGTTTCCACCTGAAGACGGAGACAGAGTCAAGTTCCGAAACGTATGTTTTCAATAAAACAGGACGACGAATGATGTCCAGAAACAATAATTGTAGTGAATACTTAATTCGGTACCTTATGGGTCTAAGTTAAGCTTAAGCGAGATCATCGTCAAGAACTGGACGTAACGCTTACAGTCGCGTAGCTTTTTGTTGCTGGCCACTCGAGAATTAGTTTCCTTCAGTAATGGCCACGCCCTTCCGCACTACCCCCTCCCCCTCCTTGCTTAATTAAACCTTTAACGGAGCGTCACTTTAGCTTTTTAATGGGATGTGCACTTTCACCCTAGTGCGTATTTCCGCCACTGAGTGTAACAAACGGATTCTCCTTAAATTCTCTGAACACCTGTGCAAATCCCATATGGGCTGTGCACGTGCTTGGGCGTTCTGTGTTACAAGCTTAGTGAACTAAATTCATGTTACAGTGTAAATACCGCCCGTAGTCATAGCAATAATAAAAATGGGTATAAATGCCAGGAGGCACGCGGTAGCGTAGTTAGTTGAGGCACTATGTTACAAGCCGGAAGGTCGCGGGTTTAATTCTCGATGAGGTCATTGGATTTATTCAATTTACCTAATCCTTCTAGCCGCACTATGGCCCTGGGGTCGACTCAGCCTCTAACAAAAATGAATACCAGGAATATTCTTTGGAGTAAAGGGCGGTCGGCGCGTAGGGTTGACAGCCTCACTGCCGTCTGTGAGCCGATTGTCTAGAGCAGTGTTTTTAAGCCCAAGGACCAGTAAAATGTCTGAGAGAATTCTACGGACCACAAAGTTATGTAGGCCTATGTTTTTAAACCTATGTGGTATTACCAACATTTGGAACATACTGTGCCATTTATAGCATAATAAATCTAAAAGCATGTTTTGAATACATATGGAAACATAATTAATTAAATTGGAAGTAAACTATTAAAAGTGAATCATCATTGAACAAAGTTTCAAGCTTTATTAAAGAAATAAAGAATATGATATAATTAATTTTTACTTCCTTATTTAATTTTAATTAGTTTTGGTTGGATAATTTTTATTTTAATTTTATTTATGTCTGCTTGTGGACCACTTGTCCCATCATCGCGGACCACAGGTTGAGAAACGCTGGTCTAGAGAAAATGTGGGAGCCTCGACGTCTCACAGACCTATGGGCCTCGTGGCCTGTCACAGGGTTAGCTTTACCTTTCCCATAATGAAGAGTGTTGTGCTTAGAGACATAACCTGGTCTATATTTAAGCCTTTTAATATGGATAATTTTGTGATGTGCCTATCTAATTTCTGCTAATTTCTGCCTTAACTCTTTTTTCCTTGAAACCACATAATTAAGTGTAGAATCGTCCAATGATTTCCGTGCCTGTGATGACAAGAAGTGGCAAGCAAACCTCAGAATGTGGGTCTAAAATAGTCGAAAGTATGAAAGTGGTGAGGGCAGTAGAGCCTCTGTAATTTTCCCTTGAGCACGCCGTAGCAACTCGGCTGTCATCTTTAAGGCATCCCCCCCCCCACCAGAAAGGTATACAATGACTTGGACCGGGTGAGCTGCAAGGCGGCCGGCACGAGCTGTCGGAACAGACAAGTAATTAAGAGGTTTGGAATGAATTTTCATTTTAGGCTGGAAGCAAAAGAAGAAGAAGAAGTTGAATAGAGTCCAAGTGATAAAGGAGAAAGAGAGAAAAAATCCAATAGAGAACTTGGTACCGGAAAGTGAAATGCTAGAAGGAAGAACGTTACAGAAGATTCTCTTTTATAAATTTTATTCACATCTCACAATTAACTTGTCAGTAGTGGCATGATGGATTTAGCTTTCATGAAATGGGTTAGGATTAAAAGCCGGCCTGCCCCTCGCTCTGGTGTAAGGACTCTGAAAGTGAGCTCAACCTGACATATGCAGAACGAGTTCCTGTAAATTATTGTCATATATATCTGCAGCGAATGGTAACCCTGTTCAATTTGCTACCCTTTCAGTTTCCATTTTCAAGCTCATAGAATTGGACTGACGTTTCACACGCTTCACACTTTTCTTGCTAAGTTT